GAAATGTAAGTTTGGTGCAGACTGTAAGGAATAAAGGGATTCGAGTTTACCCCAGAGTGTGAGCGGTGTTTCCATGCCATCAACCTTTCGCAGGACTGCATCGGACAGATTCATTATGATCAGATTGTAGGCTCCTCATCCACTTAGCCTTCTTTTTCAGTTTCTCTTCAGACACTTGGTGGCATCTTTTTTAGGGCAAGCCCGACTTATTAGCGAAAGAGGGCTTTCATCTTCTTTTTCCATGTATTAAAATCGATCTTCCCATCTATTGGGTGATCCCATACGAGTAGTGCTCATTCTATGTAGTAACAGGACAGAACAGTCAAAGGGTACGTGGCGTTGTTATACCAGAATTCGCCAATTACTGCAGGCAGTTTTAAAGCAGTTACTGTGTGTCCAGCCTATACCCTTAAACTGTATCACACAAGCAAGACACAAACAGACTGAAGTGACAAGACTTCTACAGCCCTTAGACAATACCCAGATTTCTCCCCTCTTGTGTTTGTGACTCAAACTAACCAATTCGACCTGATTCAAGGACTATTCGACAACCCTAAGCCCTATAAGCCTTTAATCCGAAAACCCCCAATCTGACAAACCCTAATTTTAGAATTTTGACGAAGACCAAACGATTTCTAACCCTAACCCTTAGAACTTTTCAGCTCTGATACCACCGAAATATGGAAGCTCACAGCATTAAGAAGATGATCAACGATTACAAGAAGGACAAGACTACAAATCTGCCAAAAACAGACTAACACCCACCAAGGCCTAATCACTCAAGAATCTCTCAATAATCTGCAAGAAACAGAGGACAAATACCAGCCTCTAGAAGGAAACGCAACCCTCTCTCACTCTACCCAGATTAACCCAGAAAGATTCAGCAACAAACTCAGCCCTAGTGTTTTTCCCTCTTTTGCAAACCCTAATACACAGATTAACAAAAACGCGATCTCTCTTTTTGTTTATCACTGTTGCTCTTCTTTATATATGTCTGCATTAATGATTCTCAGCCCTTGGATCTGCCTTGATCTGACAGTTGTAATTTGGTAATGGTCTTAAACAAAACGACCCCGTTTTGACTTGAATATACTTAAGTGAAACGGCTCCGTTTTTGGCTTCACAATACTTTCAGTCTCCACCTTGAAGCCAACTTTATTCCTTTTAGTGCAGTGAGCTATCCCGTATTTCTTCTCAGCTCTTGGAGGGCAGTATTTACTTAATATGAAGCAGGTTCAAGCAATGCTTGAACTTGGCTGTGGTCACCACTTTTGTTCCCATGTCCGCTGGATTGTCTTCAGTGGGTACCTTCAACAGATTTATCTCTCCCTTTGCAATCAGGTCTCTGACATAGTGATGCCTTACATCCACATGTTTAGTTCGTTCGTGATACACTGGGTTCTTGCTCAAGTGGATGGCACTTTGACTATCAGAGTAGACTGTTGCTGTACCATTCAACAGATCAGCTTCTTTAAGGATTCCTTGCAACCATGTTGCTTCCTTGAATGCATCTGAAACTGCTACATACTCAGCTTCAGTAGTGGATAATGCAACCAGAGGTTGCAACTGAGCTTTCCAACTAACACAGTTGCCTCCCAGTGTGAAGTTATAGGCAGTTGTGGACTTCCTAGAGTCTCTATCACCTGCAAAGTCTGCATCTACATACCCCACCAGATCAAGTGATGCATATCTTTTACAGAACATTAAACCAATTTGAACAGTACCATTAATATATCTCATCAACCATTTTAATGCATTCCAGTGTTCATTTCCAGGGTTTGACATGAATCTGCTTAATAGTGATATTGCATATGCTAAATCAGGTCTGGTGGATATCATGGAATACATTACAGAACCTATGGCATTAGAATAAGGGACATTCTCCATTTTCAATCTTTCTGACTCTGTTTTTGGGGACTGTGACTTACTAAGTATGAAATGGTTTGCTAAGGGCATTGTCACTGCCTTGGATTCATTCAGTCCAAATTTTAACACTAGTTTTTGTAAGTATGAGGACTGATGCAGTTTAAGAGTATGTGCACTTCTATTTCTATCAATCATCATTCCTAGTATTTTCTTTGCCTTCCCTAAGTCCTTCATATCAAATTCAGTATTCAATTTGGCCTTTAATGCATTAATTTGAGACATGGACTTGCTAATTATTAACATGTCATCTACATATAGCAAAAGGTAGATTGGCATGTTATTCATACAGGCAAAATAGAAACAGTTATCATACATGCTTCTAGTGAATCCATTTCCTATTATGAATGCATCAAATCTCTTGTACCACTGTCTAGGGGACTGTTTAAGTCCATACAGAGATTTATTCAGTAAGCATACATAATCAGGCAGTTTTTTATCCTTAAAACCTACAGGTTGACTCATGAATATTTTCTCATCCAACTCACCATGCAAGAAAGCAGTTTTAACATCCAGTTGTTCTATCTCTAAATCATGTTGAACTACAATTGCTAGCATGAGTCTAATTGTTTTAAATTTAACTACTGGAGAAAATATTTCAGTGAAATCAATACCTGCTCTTTGAGTGTAGCCCTTAGCCACTAACCTTGCTTTGAATCTTGGTGGGTCAGACTCATTTATCCCTTCTTTCAGTTTGTACAACCATCTGCATTCCACCAATTTCTGATTCTTTGGCTTTGGAACCAGTGTCCAGGTTTTGTTTGAGTGCAATGACTCCATCTCTTCCTCCATAGCAGCCAACCATTCTTTTCTATCCCTTGAACTCAGTGCTTCATCATAGGTATTTGGTTCTGATCGATGTATTTCTGCCCCAGCTAGGAGTGCTGTATAAATCAGGTCAGCATAGTTGTACCTTGCAGGGGGTCTGATTTCCCTTCTGACTCTGTCCCTGGCTAACTGATATTGGGCCAGGTTGTCCTGCTGATCCTCTTCAGCATTGTCAGTAGGGTAATCTGCACCCTCCTGCTCTTGATTGTGTTGTGGTTGATCTTCAACAGGGTCAGGATCATTTGTTTGGGTGTATTGATCAGGGTTAGTTTCAGGCTCCACCTCAAACTGAGTTGTCCCAGTTTGTCCTGAGGTTTCAGACTCTTCTTGTGAGCTACCTGCACTGTTAGTACCAGATTTGCAAGGAAAAACTGTTTCATTGAAAATCACATCCCTACTAACAATTACCCTGACCCCTGGGGCATCCCTTTCCCACAGCCTATAGCCCTTTGTTCCCTCTTGATATCCTAAGAAGACACACTTGAGGGATCTTGGTTCTAACTTTCCATCTCTGGTATGTGCATATGCTGCACATCCAAAGACTCTTAGGTGTTCAAGAGATGGTCTCCTTTCAGACCACTTCTCTTCAGGGCACTTAAAGTCTATTGAGCTAGAAGGGCTCCTATTTATAAGGTAAGCTGCTGTGCCTAAGGCTTCCCCCCAAAAAGTTTTTGGTAGACCAGCTGTGAATAAGAGACATCTAACCCTTTCAAGAAGGGTTCTGTTCATTCTCTCAGCAACTCCATTTTGCTGAGGGGTTCCCCTAACAGTCCTATGCCTCAAGATTCCCTCTTCTACACAATAAGAGTCAAAGTCCTGATTACAGAATTCCAGGCCATTATCAGTCCTAAAGGTTTTTACCTTCCTGTTAACTTGGTTTTCAACCAAGTTTTTCCAGCCTTTAAACTTGGTTAAGGCTTCATCTTGAGACCTAAGTAGGTACACCCATACCTTTCTGCTATAGTCATCCATAATGGAAAGGAAATAACAATTCCCTCCATGTGTTCTAACCCTTTCAGGACCCCACAGGTCTGCATGAACATAGTCTAACCCTTTTTCAGCCAAATGAGTTCCCTTTTGGAAACTCATTCTGTGCTGTTTTCCCAACACACAAACTTCACAGAAAGTTAAATCAAATATTGATTCCTTACCAAAGTACCCATGTTGGCTTAACACTGTCATACCTTTTTGACCTATGTGGCCAAGTCTCAAATGCCATTTCTCTGCAGCAGTCAGATTTATAGATGATAGGGCAGACTTTACAGTGAGTGCACAATGTTGACCACACAGAATGTACAGCCCATTTTGTTTGACCCCTTCAAGTAGTATTTCATTATTCTTGTACACAACTATGGATCCCTTTTCTGCCTTATAACTACATCCAGCTTCATCCAAAGTTCCCAAGGAGACCAGGTTTCTTTTGAGGTCAGGTATATACCTCACTCTGGTTAACATTATGATTTTGCCATTATTCAACCTAATGGTTATGTTTCCTATGCCTTGAACCTTACAAGAGTAATTATTACCCATGAAGACAGTTTCTAACTCTCCCTTCCTAAAGTTCTGGAACCATTGGATGTTGGGACTCATATGAAAAGTGCACCCTGAATCTAAGACCCATTCCTTACTGCTAGCATGGTTTGAGATAGTGAGGGCTTCTAAAAATTCAATGCCAGTGCTAGTGCTAGCTAAGTTACTCCCTGTATTTTGCTGTTTTTGTTTCTTTATCCAATCATAGCAGTTCTTCTTAAGGTGGCCAGGTTTATTACAGCGGAAACACTTCCTAGTTTCTCCCTTAGACTTGTTATTCTTCCCCTTTTTCTTAGCCCTAGGGTTTATGTGTTGTTGGAAGATTTTGGAATGTCTTAAACAAAACGACCCCGTTTTGGCTTGAATAACTTAAGTGAAACGCTCCTTTTTTTGGCTTTACAATACTTTCAGTCTCCACCTTGAAGCCAACTTTATTCCTTTAGTGCAGTAGCTATCCCGTATTTCTTCTCAGCTCTAATGGGCGTATTTACTTAAATGAAGCAGGTTCAAGCAATGCTTAAACTTGGCTGTGGTCACCACTTTTGTTCCCATGTCCGCTGGATTGTCTTCAGTGGTACCTTCAACAAATTTATCTCTCCTTTGCATCATTCTCTGACATAGTGATGCCTTACATCCACATGTTTAGTTCGTTCGGTGATACACTGGGTTCTTGCTCAAGTGGATGGCACTTTGACTATCGAGTAGACTATTGCTGTGCCTTAACAGATCAGCTTCTTTAAGATCCCTTGCAACCATGTTGCTTCCTTGAATGCATCTGAAACTGCTACATACGCAGCTTCAGTAGTGGATAATGCAACCAGAGGTTGCAACTGAGCTTTCCAACTAACACAGTTGCCTCCCAGTATGAAGTAATAGGCAGTTGTGGACTTCCTAGAGTCTCTATCACCTGCAAAGTCTGCATCTACATACCCTACCAGATCAAGTGATGCATATCTTTTACAGAACATTAAACCAATTTACAGTACCATTAATATCTCATCAACCATTTTAATGCATTCCATGTGTTCTTTCCAGGGTTTGACATGAATCTGCTTAAAAGTGATATTGCATATGCTAAATCAGGTCTTGTGGATATCATGGAAGACATTACAGAACCATGGCATTAGAATAAGGGACATTCTCCATTTTCAATCTTTCTGACTCTGTTTTTGGGGACTGTGACTTACTAAGTATGAAATAGTTTGCTAAGGGCATTGTCACTGCTTTGGATTCATTCAGTCCAAATTTTAAAACTATTTTTGTAAGTATGAGGATTAATGCAGTTTAGAGTATTGTGCACTTCTATTTCTATCATCATCATTCCTAGTATTTTCTTTGCCTTCCCTAAGTCCTTCACACAGAGATCAATACCTCCTATAAATGATGTTATCTTCCGATTATTACCGGATGCTTGCGTGTCAACAATAACACATTTCTGATGGTGTGTAAAGATGGTACTAACAGTCTGGACAACATCATCATACAAACAATTTTAACCCATCGTTAATTCTAAAAGAAGAAAACAAATGGTTTTCTAAAACTTATAGAAAACAAGCGATGACAGAACTATAAAAGATCCAACAATTATTATTTCAACTCAGTGTCAAGTGATTTTTGCGACATTTAATCAACATACATTCATACGAGCTAACTAGTCTTCTAACTATAACAGAGACAGCAATTTACTAAAATGAAAAATAGGGATATAAAACATGCCTGTTGTTTGAAAAAGCTACACTCCCTACTAGCATAACGTGGTGCTAGCACACAATTCACAGATGAATCCTTGAAAAACCTCTTCGTTTCTTTATCGTGAGTTGCCATCAATCCTACCTGCACATTTCAGCCAGTGAAATGTATAACCAATAGAACATGGAAACTACTTTTTAAAGAAGACTGTTTTCTCATTATTTAAGAACATGTAAAATTAGTTCCCAAATTTTGTTAACAAAAGTAGAAAGCCTAATATTAGCATCTTCACAAAATAAGCTGAAAATGTTGGCTTCCCTACTCACCGTTTTGACTCCGAACTCGTCACGGGATGTCTTATCCTCCCAAATCAACAACACAACTCTGACACCTTCCTGCGATTTATACTTCAGCAACTTACCGAGTGTCAAATCACCACCACTCGGCAACGGCCGAGTGGGCTCTCTAACGAGCTTAATCTTCACAAACACAGACCACCCCATAATGTAGATCAGATGACGAGCATCTAAAATGGCTTCGCAAATGTCCTCCCAGCACGTGCCTGGCTTATAAACCTGATCTCCCTCAAGCGTAACGTGAGGCAAGGACTCCTTCCTCACGTGAGCGTCCTGGTACAGCGTCACTTGATTTCCCTTTCGTAACGGAAAATACGTGTTTCGAACTCCTTCCAGCTTAGGATCACCGGCAATGCCATAGCGGTATATTGGATTTGTTTCACACGGCGTAAATTTCATCTTCAGTCGCAAGGCTTTGTGTGTCTTAATACAGCTGGATCGGACGATTCGGAACCATCCCGAGATATCCTTGCCGTTGGCCATTTTTTCCGCTGGAATTTTTGCCTTCCCAATAACCTTGGGCCCAAAGAAACTCTTGACTATAACTTGAAACTCGAGTTCAGTTGCAGGGTGAGCCAAGGGAATAAAAAACTGGTCGTTCCAGAATAGATTCTGAGAGTTCTTCTCAATGATACGAGTGCGCCCCAAAGTGGCTTGCGGCACTAACACTGTAACATAAGAGTCGCCGAAGATAGCCTTACGGGGGTCGAGGTTATTAAGCTCCTCGATTCCATCGCCCTTCCCGGTGGCCCAATTCAGAACCCTTCGAACCTCGATGATCGTAAGGACAAGATCACCGTGAAGATACGGGACGTGTTTATCCTCGGCGGTAGCCATGATGGAATGGTAACTTTCGACAAATGTATGAAACCGTAATGTCAGAGAACCAAATAGAGTAGTAATTAAGAAAAACAAACCGGAGATGGAAGTTCAAAAGAGAGAGAAAGTAAGAACGAAAGAATGATGAGATGGGAAGTGTTTTACTTATATTAGTGAAAGCACTGAGTTTGATTCTCTTTTGTAGTTCATTTCAATAAAACAAAATTAATTAAAGTGAAACCACTTGATCACCTTTGCACGACCAAATAAATAAAACATTCTTTGAATGAAATGATTTGATGTTAATTTGAATGGTCCTCATCTTCCCGCGACACTTCACGTGGAGTCGAGCGTTGCCGGCTGGTTAGTTTTTGTTTGTCGCAGCAGATTCTTCCGTACAATGTCAGAAAACTTCAGTCGAACAAAATGATAATGGAATCCAAAATATATCTGTTATAACCTAAGCCTAATAAGCAAATTCGCAACACAAACAACACACACAAGGTTAAAGATCAAAAGAATCACACACACACAAAAGTCACAATTTTTACCGTGGTTCGTCTATCCAATCTTGGATAGACTACATCCACGTTGAGCTCCGAAATATGGAAGCCCACAACACTAAGAAGATATTCAACGATTACAAGAAGGACAAGACTACAAATCTGCCAAAAACAGACTAACACCCACCAAGGCCTAATCACTCAAGAATCTCTCAATAATCTGCAAGAAACAGAGGACAAATACCAGCCTCTAGAAGGAAACGCAACGCTCTCTTAATCAACCCAGATTAACTCAGAAAGATTCTGCAACAAACCCAGCCCTAGTGTTTTTCCCCCTTTTGCAAACCCTAATACACAGAGTAATAAAAACGCGTTCTGTCAGTTTTTATCACTGTTGCTCTTCTTTATATATGTCTGCATTAGTAATTCTCAGCCCTTGGATCTGTCTTGATCTGACGGCTAAAGCTTGGTAACGGTCTTAAACAAAACGATCCCGTTTTGGCTTGAATATACTTAAGTGAAACGGCTCCGTTTTTGGCTTCACAATACTTTCAATATCCAAACACATGCAAAACTGACAGTGTTCCCTTTTTAATTTTAATCACATCAATGGTGATTTTCCATATGGCTCACTCAGATTTTGCTCCCCACGTGTTATTAAAAAAGCTTCTTTTTTTTTTTTTTCATTTATAATAACATAAACAACACTTTCATTTTAATTCTTGGTACGGTATTTGATATCAAATGTATTTTTAGAACCTATTTGTAAATAAAAATTTTAATTAGAAGCATCCAAACCTTGAATCGAAAACTATAATTATGTTAATTAATATGTATACTATCCAAATATTATTATATTTATACAAGTAAAGGAGAATTTGGTAATTTGGAACAGTGTTAAAGATCTTGAATAGAGATTTTCAACGGCCAATAACCAACTTGTCTTTTTAAACTACCGAAGATCCCAACATCCTTTTCAGCCATTCCCTGCTATATTTTGTCGGCGACTTTAGAATTAAATCTGGACCGTCTATCCTCTCTGGCTACAAGGTGCCGTACTAGATTTTTATTGCTTTTACGTTTGTTCTGCGTTTTGATACTCTTATCCATGAACGGTCCAATCACCCAAGGCGAGAAGCCATTGAGTTTGAAACTTTGAGACTGAGAGGGTCCACATTCCACGACACTAGATTATTAACCATTTGGCAACTGGGATCTTTAAATTTACGTATGTATTTAACCATTTGCCAATTCCATGATATGGTATCTTCGTTTACTGTGTTAATCTTCGTCTTCAATCTTCATCTTCAAGCGCTCTTTTAATAATCATTAAACAATGGACGTTGACTCATCTTGCTTTTCTCTCTCCAGGCTCACCGAACCAAAACTGCCCTATCAGATTAGCAAAATATGCGGACCAATAAAATATGTAAACAAGTGGGAAATGAGATGGATGTGTTACTTTCTTTAAATAATTATTATATATATATTTTTTTAATGAAGATTTCCCATGTCTTCATAAATGGTTGATTCAAGGTTATCATATCGTAAGCTGTGCCATACCGATCTAATAAAATTTTTTGTCCTGTTATACTGTGTTAACCCACCAAATTTGAAGGTCCCACTATATATCATGACGGGAGTCGGTTCGTATGTTTTATAAAAATATTTAATATTTATAAATTATGATAATTTTGATTTATTATTAATAATTATTATAAAAGCATACTTATCAAAATCGTTGGATCCAAATTTTTTTCTTTACTTAATAAATATATTTTTTACACAATACAACATCATTTGTACAAAAAGACTCTAAAAAACAGTAGACAGTGCAGTCAAATCTCAAAAAAACAACGGAGTGGGCACAAAGATGCCCAGTAAGTAATCTCCTACTCTATAATCCCCGTGCACTACTCATCAATTCTTTCCGTACTCTTGTCATTTTCTCTAATTCTAGTTCTCACTATTCTTTTCTTTCTTTCTATTCTTTCTTTTTCTCATTCTCATTCCGCTTTCTCATGGCAGAGACCGCTCTCTCTCATAGTTGTTTACATGCATTCCGCTCTCTCATGGCGGAGACTGCTCTCTCTCATAGCGGTTTATATGAGGGGAACTCTACACTCATGAGTTCCCCATCGCACAACCTATTTTCTTTTCTTTTCTATAGCACTTAATAATCATTTTATTCTCTAGTGCTAGTTCTTTCTTTCTCTTTATTCTAAGAGAATTGGTTCTTTTCTTTATCTCTATTCATAGAGTGTTTCTTTCTCATTTCTCATATTTCTTTCTCATGTGATTACTCAATTACACATATGCTTATGGATGGCTCATGCCTAAAATCTTTCTTACATGCATTCATGACATGCAAATATGCTATGTTGCATAAAGTAAGGTTCTCTACTTCTACTCATGCTTCTTTTAGGCATTTCATCAGACAATGTGTGTGCATACATAAACTTTATTCTAACTTTAATTATACTTCTTTCTTAACCATCCAAAATTGGAGTTCAACTCCTTTAAAACATCACACATCCTGCAAGGAAAACACACTTCAAATATTCCTCTCAAATTCTTCTAATTCTATCCATACTTCTACCAAAATTTATCAACACAATCCAACCTTCTCATGGTGGAAATTTCTTCATAAAACAACCTTGAATTCATTCATGAATTCATCAACTTATTTCAACATAATAAATTCAAGCATTAATCATACATAAAATCTCTACACATCACTCAATCATGCAAATCACAACTTAGGTGGATTTACTTACCTTAGACACAAGTAGAATCCACTTAAGCTCTCAACTCTTGATGACTTGATACTATCTCTTAAACCTTCAATACACAACTCAATAAGGATCCTACTCTTTCAACAATAAAATTACATCTAGAGTAAGGATTCTCACCTTTTAGTGCTTAGGATCAACTTGTAACAACTTCTAGTCAAAAGCTCTTCAAAGATCCTTGGAAAATTGAATGAAAATTTGAGAGAATTGAAGGATGAAAGAGGCGGTGGAGAAGAATCAAGTGAAAGGGTTTCCAAAGCTAAATCCTTAATATCTCATATTTTCTCCACTCTTTCCCAAAATACCCTTGCTCCTTCTTTGAAATTCCACCTAAGACCTTTCATTCTTTGCAAAAACAACCCCATTCAAACTATTCTCCATGCCATTTCCTTACATTTCACTCCCAACTTTTCCTACTAAAAAGGGGTAGAATAGTCATTGAGTCTCAAAAAGAAGAATTCTCTAAAACTCAAGGGGAACATTCAGCCGAATCTTCGCCGTGGCGAAGCTATTTTCTTCGTCCCGGCGAAAGCTTACAGCAGCTACACGAGGTTGTAGCACCTCATCGCTGCGGTGAAGATTATTCTTTGCCCTAGGGAAGACTGTAATATCAAGATTTCGCCAAGTCTTACAAATTTGCAGGGCAACCACTCAACCAAACCAAAACACCCTTTCAACCAAGGGTAAACCAATCAATATTAACAACATACAGACTCAAAAGAGGATAAATCAACAAACATTTAAGTCATTCATCAAAACTTAACGACGTACCTCAAGTGGGGTGTTACAATTCTCTCCTCCTTAAAAGAATTTCGTCCTCGAAATTCAAACAAACAACTCCGGGTAACGACTTTGCATGTCTTGCTCTATCTCCCAAGTAGCTTATTCAACTTTATGGTTTCTCCAGAGGACTTTCACTTAAGGAATACTCTTATTTCGGAGCTCTTTAATCTTCTGGTCCAAAATTTGAATTGGACACTCCTCGTACACGAGATTCTCTTCCACAATTACATCCTCTGTACTCAATATATGGGAGGGATCAGTTATATACTTCCGTAACATTGAGATATGGAAAACATCATGCACCTTGTCCATGCTTTGTGGTAGTGCCAATCTATAGGCTACTTTCCCCACTCGTTGCAACACTTCAAATGGACCAATGAATCTCGGTGCTAGCTTCCCTTTATTTCCGGTGCTAGCTTCCCTTTATTTCCAAACCGCATCACCCGCTTAAAGGGGGAAACTTTCAAGAAAACTTTATCACCCACTTCGAATTCAACTTCCTTTCTCTTCAAATCAGCATAACTTTTCTGTCTATCTTGGGCTTGTTGCATTCTGCTTCTAATCAGCTTCACATCTTCAATCAATTTCTGAGTCATCTCTGGCCCAATAGGTATATTCAACTCATCTTTCTCACCTATCTCATCCCAATGTAGTGGAGATCTACATTGTCTACCATACAAAGCCTCATAAGGAACCATCTTAATTATAGAATGATAACTATTATTGTAAGCAAACTCCACTAAGGCCAACATCTCATGCCAGGATACTCTATAATCCATACAGCTCTCAACATATCCTCAAGCACTTGATTTGTTCTCTTTGTTTATCCATCAGTTTGAGGATGGTAGGCGATGCTAAAAGCCAATCTAGTACCCAAGTTCCTCTGTAAGCTTGTCCAGAAAGCGGAGACAAATCTGGTATCTCTGTCTGAGACTATTGTCTTGGGTACCCAATGAAGTTTCACTATCTCTCTGATGTAAATCTAGGCTAGCTAATCCGAAGTAGTGCTCTCTTTCACCGGAAGGAAATGGGCTGATTTTGTCAATCTATCTACAATCACCCAAATGGCATTAAATCCTCTCTGAACTCTAGGGAGACCTACAATAAAATTCATCGAGATACTCTCCCATTTCCACTCAGGAATACTAAGTGGTTGAAGTAATCCTGATGGCCTTTGGTGATCTGCTTTCACTTGTTGACATACCAGGCATTTAGCTACAAACTCCGCAATATCATTCTTCATACCTGGCCACCAATAGCCTTTCTTTAGATCTTGATACATCTTGGTTGCTCCTGGATGAGCAGTGTAGGGTGTGACATGAGCCTCCAAAAGAATTCTCTCTCTCAACTCCTTATCCTGAGGAATACACAACCGATTCTTGAAACGGAGAACACCATATACCAGATGGAACTCTGGTCTCTCATTCTTATACACTCTTTGCAATAACTTCTGACACCACTCATCAACCACTTACTTTTCCTTAATTTCATCCAGTAAGGTAGACTGAATTTCTAACTTGACAATCCCTCCTTGAATCACCTCAATCTGTTCTTTACACAACTCATCTATTAACTCTCTCTGTCTTGTGAGTTGGGATAAATCTTGTGAGTTGGGATAAATAAGCTTTTCTACTCAACGCATTGGCTACGACATTAGCTTTCCCTGGCTGATATTTAATCTCACATTCATAATCTTTAACTAGCTCTAACCACCTTCTCTGCCTCATATTAAGCTCCTTCTGAGTAAAGAAATACTTCAAACTCTTATGGTCAGTGTAGATATTACTCTTTGCACCATAAAGATAATGCCTCCAAATTTTCAAAGCAAAGACTACCGCTGCCAACTCTAAATCATGCGTAGGGTATCTTGTCTTGTACTCTTTCAATTGACGAGAAGCATAAGCTATCACCCTACCTAACTGCATCAAGACAGCACCAAGTCCCTACAGTGAGGCATCTATAAAAATATCATACTCTACACCCTCCTGAGGCAACACTAAAACAGGAGCTGATGTCAATTTTTTCTTTAACTTGTGAAAACTCGTTTCACAAGTAGTTGACCAGATAAAAGGAATTCTCTGCTTGGTAAGAGCTGTTAATGGCTTAGCCAACTGGGCAAACCCTGCTACGAATCGTCGGAAGTAGCCTGCTAATCCCAAGAAACTTCTCACTTCCTTTACCGTTTTCGGCCTTTGCCACTCAAGGATTGCCTCTGCCTTACTAGGGTCCACTGAAATCCCTTCACTAGAAACAGTATGGCCCATAAATAATACTTGATTCAACCAGAATTCACACTTAGAAAACTTAGCATACAACTTATTTTCTCTCAATCGTTGTAGTACAAGTCTTAAATGCTCCTCATGCTCTTCTCTCGACTTAGAGTAAACCAGGATATCATCAATGAAAACCACAATGAATTGATCCAAGCAATCGTGAAATACCCGGTTCATCAAGTCCATAAAAACTACTGGGGCATTCGTCAACCCGAAAGACATCACTACAAACTCATAATATCCATACCTTGTACGAAAAGCAGTCTTAGCTATATCTTGCTCAGCCACTCTCACTTGATGGTACCCTGACCTCAAATCAATTTTTGAGAACACTACCGCTCCTTTTAATTGATCAAACAAATCGTCTATCTACTGTCACCTTATTCAGCTCTCTGTAATCTATACACATCCGTAAAGATCCATCTTTCTTCTTCACAAAAGGAATTGGAGCTCCCAAGGGAGAATGACTTGGTCAGATAAAACCTTTATTTAAAAGCTCTTGGAGTTGCTTCTTCAATTTCTGAAGCTCGGCTGGGGCCATTCGATAAGGGGCTCTCGATATTGGTGCTGTCCCAGGTGCTAGTTCAATACTGAACTCAACCTCTCTCTTTGGAAGTAAACCCGATAACTCTTCCGGAAACACATCCAGAAATTCTCGAACTATAGACACCCTCTGAATTTCTGGCTGAGGAACATCACCACTCTGCACTACATGTGCAATATATCCTGAACACCCCTTTCTCAGCATCTTTCTAGCTTTCAAGCTACTGATCAACATACTCAATTGATGGCCCTCACCGAAACTACATACTCAATTGATGGCCCTCACCGAAACTAAACTTATCTTAACTATCAAGATTAAATCTTGCTTTCTTCTTCTGACAGTCAATTTCTACTCCATACTTCCCTAGGAAATGCATACCCAAAATCACGTCGAAATCGGGCATATCAACACTATTAGATCAACTAATAGCTCTCTTCCATGAATCACGACGGACTCTCCTGGAAGCATCTCACGGGTCAAAACACTAACCCCATCAGGTAACTCTATCCTAATGGGTTGGTCTACCACGACAGACTTCAGACCTAATCTTTCTATCATCCCATGAGATATAAAAGAATGCGTGGCTCCAAAATCTATTAAAGCATAGAGAGGAACTGCATGAAAGAATAACTAACCAGTTACTGCTGATGGACTGGCCTCCACCTCACCCTGTGCCATGGTAAACACCCTGGCATTCGTGCCTCTAGAAACCTGTGCTGCTGGTGGAGGAGGAGCTTTACAATCTTTCATTAGGTGCCCTGGCTGGTGACACCTATAGCAAACATTCGAACCGAACTCTTTTAGACACTCCCCCAAATGATTCTTCCCACACTTAGGGCACGGAGTGACTCCAGTAGTTCTAGGCCATTTACTCTGCCAATCGCCCCTATTCTTCTTTGGCTGGAACCTCTTTTTGTTCCTCATGTCTCTACTTCTCCCAATCTCAACTCTTTCTTTTTGCGGAGCAGGGGGCGGTTCATTCTGTACTATCATGGATGGCCCTTCTGAACTCATCTTGTTCACATAAATCTCTACTCTCAAAGCCCGATCTAATGCTTCAATATAGGTATGAGGGGGCTCTGCTCCTATCATAACATCACGGGCTATTTCTGACCTCAACCCGAGAACAAATTTCTCTCTTCTCAACTCGGGAGTACTCACTATCCCAGGTGCAAACCTCGCAAGAGAGTTGAATTGAACTGAATACTCTTTCACTGTACTCATCCCTTGCTTCAGATTAATAAACTCTTGTATTTTCTCATGAACCCAGTCAACCATTCGATACTCGGTCTCAAACACTCTTCTAAAATCTCCCCAAGTCATGGTTGCCGTGTCATGAGTCTCTTCCATTAATTCCCACCAAATTCGGGCATCAGCCCGAAATAAGAAACAAGCATAGCTAATCCTCTCTCTATCATTCATGGGAAACAGGGCCACCGTCTGCTCAACGGACTTAAACCACTCTTCTGTTTCTAACGGATCCCTAGTACCCCTAAACTCTGGTGGCCGATGCTGACTTGCAAGCCCTTGAATCGAATCAACTCGATTCTGTACTATCTAAGGTACCAGCCCTTCTCGCTCTTGCATTACGGGCGGTACTCTATTAGGGGTCTCAGTTCTCTCCGGTACAACTCTCCCCTGACTCTCTGCTAACACCTGCTGTATAATGGTTCGAATCATTGTCGCATCAAGGGTAGGGGGAGTCTGTTTCGGCGGGTTAGAGGATTCTCCCTCATTCATCACACCCTTACCCTTCTTTCTATTACTACGTCTCATCTACAAAATAACCATTCTCACATCAACTTCAATAACCCACTAATAAGAAAAGAATTTAACTTACAGTGGCCGGATAAGACACGTCGTAATGGCTAGAATGACACATTGTCCCATCCCAAAATCATTGCTCTGATACAAAAAATGTAACAACTTCTTTCTATTTTCATATTCATAAAATATATCAATAAAAGATAAGCATATTTATCAAAATAGTTGGGCCCAAATTTTTTTTCTTTACTTAATAAATACATTCTTTACACAATACAACATCATTTGTACAAAAAGACTCTAAAAAACGGTGGACAGTGCAGCCAAATCTCCTCGCTTGCCGACGCCCATCCGACCAGGTCCTCACCTATGTCTTGTACAGCAAAGAAAACAACGGAGTGAGCACAAAGATGCCCAGTAAGTAATCTCCTACTCTATAATCCCCGTGCATTACTCATCAATTCTTTCCGTACTCTTGTCATTTTCTCTAATTCTAGTTCTCACTATTCTTTTCTTTCTTTCTATTCTTTCTTTTTCTCATTCTCATTCCGCTTTCTCATAGCAGAGACCGCTCTCTCTCATAGCAGTTTACATGCATTCCGCTCTCTCTTATAGCGGTTTACATGCATTCCGCTCTCTCATGGCGGAGACCGCTCTCTCTTTTAGCGGTTTACATGAGGGTAACTCTACACTCACGAGTTCCCCATCGCACAACCTATTTTCTTTTCTTTTCTGTAGCACTTAATAATCATTTTATTCTCTAGTGCTAGCTCTTTCTTTCTCTTTATTCTAAGAGAATTGGTTCTTTTCTTTATCTCTATTCATAGAGTGTTTCTTTCTCATTTCTCATATTTCTTTCTCATGTGATTACTCAATTACACATATGCTTATGGATGGCTCATACCTAAAATCTTTCTTACATGCATTCATGACATGCAAATATGCTATGTTGCATAAAGTAAGGTTCTCTACTTCTACTCATGCTTCTTTTAGGCATTTCATCAAACAATGTGTGTGCATACATAAACTTTATTCTAACTTTAATTATACTTCTTTCTTAACCATCCAAAATTGGAGTTCAACTCCTTTAAAACATCACACATCCTGCAAGGAAAACACACTTCAAATATTCCTCTCAAATTCTTCTAATTCTATCCATACTTCTACCAAAATTTATCAACACAATCCAACCTTCTCATGGTGGAAATTTCTTCATAAAACAACCTTGAATTCATTCATGAATTCATCAACTTATTTCAACATAATAAATTCAAGCATTAATCATATATAAAATCTCTACACATCACTCAATCATGCAAATCACAACTTAGGTGGATTTACTTACCTTAGACACAAGTAGAATCCACTTAAGCTCTCTACTCTTGATGACTTGATACTATCTCTTAAACCTTCAATACACAACTCAATAAGGATCCTACTCTTTCAACAATAAAATTACATCTAGAGTAAGGATTCTCACCTTTTAGTGCTTAGGATCAACTTGTAACAATTTCTAGTCAAAAGCTCTTCAAAGATCCTTGGAAAATTGAATGAAAATTTGAGAGAATTGAAGGATGAAAGAGGCGGTGGAGAAGAATCAAGTGAAAGGGTTTCCAAAGCTAAACCCTTAATATCTCATATTTTCTCCACTCTTTCCCAAAATACCCTTGCTCCTTCTTTGAAATTCCACTTAAGACCTTTCATTCTTTTCAAAAACAACCCCATTCAAACTATTCTCCATGCCATTTCCTTACATTTCACTCCCCACTTTTCCTACTAAAAAGGGGTAGAATGGTCATTGAGTCTCAATAGGAAGAATTCTCTAAAACTCAAGGGGAACATTCAGCCGAGTCTTCGCCCCGGTGAAAGCTCACAGTAGCTACACGGGGTTGTAGCACCTCATCGCGGCGGTGAAGATTATTCTTTGCCCCGGCGAAGACTATAATATCAAGATTTCGCCAAGTCTTACAAATTTGCAGGGCAACCACTCAACCAAACCAAAACACCCTTTCAACCAAGGGTAAACCAAGCAATATTAACAACATACAGACTTAAAAGAGGATAAATCAACAAACATTCAAGCCATTCATCAAAACTTAATGACGTACCTCAAGTGGGGTGTTACACAAATAGGTTCCAAATAGGTTCTAAACTGGGTACCCCCTCCAGGTTCAAAACAGGGTACCCTTTTTACAGGTTCTGGTTCCGACACACACAAGAATCGGAACCAGAACCGGACAGTATCGGTTCTAAAAAATTGGAACCAGAACTTACTCACACAGTACCGGTTTCGGGTAGATTCCGATTCTAGTTTCGGTTCTATCCCCCGGTTCCGGTTCTACCCGCATGCTCACCCCTTGTATATTTATGTATGTATGAACAATGGACGTTGACTCATCTTGCTTTTCTCTCTCCAAGCTCACCAATCAAAAACCGCCTTATAAAGTAAGCCAAATATATGAACCAAATCAACCTATAAAATATGTGAACAAGTGGGCCATTGCAGATTTCCCATGTCGTCATAAATGGTTGATTAGCATGCAAGTACAATCACAAACGTGTTTCATTTAATACCTGAGAGTATATTACAAACATCAACCATAACTTCTGATTATTTTTTTCCTGGGGCTCATTGAATTCAACATCAAACCTTCCAAAATGCTGCTGCTATTCTCTCTTTCTCTTTTGCTGGTGTGTGGTAATGTAGCCATGGCAGCATCGAGTTCAAGCAGTAGCACCTCCACGGAGAGGCAGATTAGTCAGACACCAACATGGGCTGTTGCTATTGTTTGTGCTGTTATCATCATCATTTCTATTTTCTTGGAAAAAACTCTTCACAAACTTGGAACTGTAAGTTCATTTACTTTTCTTATGCTTTTAGAAATTCTTTACTGCCAAGAGCTTCGTCATGTTTGTTCTATAACTACCTTGACCCTTTTAATTATCTTGTTAACTTGTCATTCCGGTTCTTTATATTGTTATGTTTGGTTCTCTCTTTTTTTTCCCCTTTTTTGAGGCACAATAAACATTAAATTTCTGGTTTACATGTTATGTGTTTGAACTTTGAAGTTCTTTGATTTTCATTCCTCATATTGCTACTTAGTGCTGAGTTTTTACTCGCTTTAGTCATGATTTAAGATTGGATTTTTCAACGGTTATACTAGTAAATATGTAAGATTCTCAATGTAGTTCAAATAGTGTTTGTTAATCTTAGAATGTTGCTGTATTTGGCCCTTTGATTGACTGTGGGTAATTTACTGGAATACAAATTCAGGTTCTTACAGAGAAGCACAATGCGGCTTTGTTTGAAGCCCTTGAGAAGGTCAAATCTGGTAAGAAGATAAATTTTCTTCTATACTTCTGGTAGTTTTTTGGGTGGACACAAAAATTGGGTGCTTAATTGACATTTAATATGTAATTTTTGCAGAGTTGATGGTTCTGGGATTCATTTCGCTCATACTCACTTTTGGGCAGAAGTACATTATCAAGATATGTATCCCTTTCAAGGTTGCAGCCATTATGCTGCCTTGCGTATCAGATAGTGTGAATGATGGAGAGTCAGGTAGCGAATCAGAACATCGTAGACGACTCTTGTGGTTTGACCATAGATACTTATCTTCTTCAAGTACAACTACTCCTGCATGCAAGTCGGTGAGTGCATATAAAGCTCAAATTATGGTTCCTTTTTACATTTTCCTAAATTGATAGTAGGTACATGGTATAGTGGAGATTTATGTTGTGACTGGCATGTATTGTATTTTCTTTCTTGCAATGTATGAGAAATAAAATTTTGTGGTTTGAAATATCATGTTGACAACCTTCAATGCAGTGTTTTGCTGCCAACATGACCAATGGTGAATTTTCTTTTCCTGTTTTTGGAGTTGGGTGGGTGCCTGGGGGTGACCTTGGTGCTACAAGCCAAAGAAAACTTAATATTAAACTTATTACGCATAGATATCTTTCATTCCTCAGCAATATTTCGATATGTTTTCATTGCCGATGCATATGAAATCTAACCTGTGTATTTCTAGATTATAATTAAATCACAAGACTTACGACATCCCATATGCATATTCTTTTTGTTAAATATCTCATGTAGTAGTATCGAATTTAACATATATATTCAAAGTTAGAACTATAAATTTGGTTTTGAGTGATGAATGAAATCCTGGATAATGCAATATGAAGCAAGCTTCATCTCCTGGTATTCAATTTGAAGCTTTTATGGAAAATTTATAATTTCTCATGCAAGGTATATGCTACATGGAAACAGTGTCCTACTAAGATGCAAGACCTAATGTACTTTTACCTTGAAAATTTTGATGGTTGATACCTCTTATATACTAATCAAAATCCATATAGTCAAGTAATAGCTAATCATTTTTTTTTTTTTTTTTTTTTTTTTTTTTGGAGTCCTGTCTTGTGGGCATCATTTGTGCTTTTGTTATCAACCTACCAAAACTATTCATGTGTTTTTAAAAACAAGGATTTGATTAGTATTTAAGTAAATTAAAATTCATTGTTGATCATAAATCAATCAAGGAGTTCAATTCTTCAAACTAAAAAGATACATAAAAAAGCAAATG